GGGGGGGTACAGACCCACCTGGGCCAGCCCTGCTGTTCTCTAAGGGAGAAGTAACAGCAAAAACTGTCGGTGCTGCCTTAACTTTAGCTTTCTCGACCCAAACCCCCTGGTGCCGGGCAGGCCGCCTTCTGACAAATTGTCCCCCTTCTGACAAATTGTCCCCCCTGAGAGCTGGTGGCTCTTCATCGCCGTTTCTCAAGTGCCACCACTGTCCCCCCCCCCGGCTCTGCCAGCGTCTGTTTCCCCCCCCTTTAGGCTGTGCCCAAAGCCCACCCGGGGGGGCTACGGGAAGGGGGTGATGTGGCCTTAAAACAAACACGAGGGGAAATCCCCTTGAGTTTGGATAACACAAAGCCCAGGATAAACGCCCAAGGAAGCGATGCCCGGAGGCTGCGGGGAGCAGCTCCCCCCCGAGGGCCCTTCTCCCGGGGATCCACCCCCCCACTCCCCAGCCCCACCGACGGACGGACCCACCGACCTACCTCCGCACCCGCGGCCCCTGCGCTCGTCCTTCCCGCCCGCCCCGGCGGAGGTTCCCGGCGGCCGGAGGAAATGGGACGCCCCGTCCCGTCCCGTCCCGCCTCGCCTGCCTCCGCCCCCGGCCCCGGCCCGGCCCCGCCGCCCTCCCTGCCCCACCTGGGGCGCCCCGACGAGCCCCGGCACTCTGTTTCCGTCCCCCCCCACCTCCTTCTCCCCTTCCGCGACCCCAAAACTGTGCCGGGGGTGGGATAAAAGGGGGGACCCCGCTGCTTTGCCGGCTCCCAGCGCTCAGGAAGGGCTGGAGAAGTTGGAGTTGTTTAGTCTGGGGAAGAGGCACGGGGAGGATGGGGGGGGCTCCCAAACCAGGCCTGAAATATGCCAAAAAGTGCTGGGAAGAAGGAAAGAACGAAGTGTTTTCTCTCGCAGGGGGGGTGACCCGGGTTTCGGCCCCCCGGAAACTTTTTGGGGGGGTTTGCAGGGGCGGTGATGCTGCTGGTGGTGGTGGTGTTCACCGAAAGGGTTCTCAGCCATTGGAATGCTGGTGGTGGTGGTCACCGAAAGGGTCATCAGCCATCGGAATGGGCTGCCCAGGGAGGTGGTTGAGGCACCATCCCTGGAGGTGTTCAAAAGACGGGTTGATGTGGTGCTGGGAGGTATGGTTTAGTGATGATGCTCCTTGTTTGTTGTGTGGGTGTCTATTTTTGTCAGTTAGGTTGACGGTTGGACGAGATGATCTTTAAGGTCCCTTCCAACCTAGAAGATTCTGTGATTCTGTGTTGGGAGGCTTCCTTAAGAGCCCTACTGGGCTGCCCTGATGCTCTGTCCCTGAAAAGGGGATGCTGCAGCCGAGCAGGGGGGTGACAGAGCATCACCCACAGGAGGACACCCCGGGGCTGCTCTCCTCCACAGCCAGCACCCACCAGCGTCGTGGGTGCCACGCACCCATGGAGATCATAAATGATGTTTCAACCCGAGGAAGGTTCTGCAGGGTTTTAATATTTTCAAAATCTGATTTCAGTTCAGTGTGGATGGCCACCCCCAGCTTTCACTTGTTGTTTTCTCTCTTACTTCTTTTTTTTTTTTCTTGCCATATGAGGGATATCCAGGAATCACTGGATCCCGGTTGCTTTCTAGCCCGGGGCTGAGCGATCTCTGTGCAGCGTTGCGATGCTGACAGCCGGGCAAGCTGTGACTAGCAAAAATGTTTTTGCTGGAATTTTTCTGGCCGGCTTGAATCCTTTCGGATTGCAAAACCTTTGTGCTTGCCTGCCTTCGTGCTCCAGAGCCGGTGGCTTTGCTTTTCCACTTTGGCCTCCATGCTAACTTGTCCAGCTGGTGTAGCTGGGGCTGCCTGACCCTTCGAGGCTGCTGGAAAACAGCCCCTGTGCTCCCGGTGCCGTGCCCTGGCAGTGCCAGGAGCAAAGCTGCTCTGGGAATCCAAGGAAAGAGGGGCAGAGAGGAGGGGTGGAGGGATGGAGATGAGCTGCCTGCTAGCCCTGACCGCCTCTGTGCCCTCCCTCCTGCTGCCTTCACCCTAGCATCGGGGCTGGAGGGGTGAGAGACCCCAAGAAACACACGTTGGAGGATACAGCTTGTGCTAAGAGCCTCCTGGTAGCCTGTGGCAAGGTGTTTATGTGCTGCAGGAAGTGCCAAGCACTTTTTATCTGAAGATTTGCTGTTTGTTAACACTGGGAAATTTTTCCTTGGTTTTACGCCGCAGGATGGAGATCTCTGGGCTTTGCACCACGTTCATGGCTCACTGCACCCCAGATTACCCCATCCCATCTCACTACATCCCGGCTCTCCCCTCCATCATTGAGCTGTAGCAGTTCCAAATCCCCCTATGGAAACACCCTTCCCAAGGCACTCAGAAGAAGCCACCTGGGTGCTGGCAGTCACCTGGGGGACACCCAGCCACTCCACACCACCAGAAAGTGTAACGTCACCTTTGAAACCACCCTAATAGGATGCCCTGGAAATACTTACAAGAGGTCTCCAAGGGCGAGCGTGGCCCCAGCCACTCCACACCACCAGAAAGTGTAACGTCACCTTTGAAACCACCCTAATAGGATGCCCTGGAAATACTTACAAGCCCCGATAACGGGCAAGCGTGGCTGTAGGCATCAGGCTTGGGGGTTCCCATCCCCGGGGTTAAGAGGGATGAAAGCCCTGCCCGTCCCCGGGAGCGCTGCCGCCGCGGTGGCTGGGAGGTTTGCTTTGTTCCCTGGGCAAACAGCCCTGCTGGGGCTCGGCTCTTTCTTGTCGCTAATTTAGTTTTGGCAGAGGCCTCACCGAGGGAGGAGCTGCCGGTCTGCACACCTTCCCTGGCTTTTTGGGGGCCCCTCCGAGCACAGGGCTTCGGCACCCACTTGGCTTCAAGTGGGAGCCTTGTTAAGAAGGGGCAGAGGCTGGTGGCACCGATAACACTGACCTCGGCATCTAAACCTCTCGTGGTGCTGCTACCTGTAAAGGAGAGTCTTGCGTAGCAATACCGTTAAATCAAGTTGGGAAGCATTAAATGGACTTAAAGAAACTTAGCATTAACACAAGAATATACAAATATAATGCCATTGAGCATAGCAATACTGTTAAATCAAGTTGGGAAGCATTAAATGGACGTAGCAATACCGTTAAATCAAGTTGGGAAGCATTAAATGGACTTAAAGAAACTTAGCATTAACACAAGAATATACAAATATAATCAGTCACACCACAGCCCCGTCTAGCAGGTCCAGAGAGGTAATTCTTCCACTTTGCTCTGGTGAGACCTCACCTGGAGTATTGTGTGCAGGTCTGGAGCTCTCAATATAAGAAGGACATGGACCTGATGGAGAGGGTCCAGAGGAGGGCCACAAGGATGATCAGGGGGATGGAGCACCTCTGCTACGAGGACAGGCTGAGGGAGCTGGGGTTGTTCAGCCTGGAGAAGAGGAGGCTCCGGGGAGACCTAATAGCAGCCTTCCAGTACCTGAAGGGAGCCTACAGGAAGGCTGGGGAGAGCCTGTTTACAAAGGCCTGCAGTGACAGGACGAGGGGCAATGGCTTCAAGCTGGAGGGGAACAGATTTAGACTGGAGATTAGGAGAGGGTTCTTCACTGTGAGGGTGGTGGAGCACTGGAACAGGTTGCCCAGGGAGGTGGTTGAGGCCCCATCCCTGGAGATATTCAAGGAGAGGCTCGACGAGGCCCTGGGCAACCTGGTCTAGTTGGGGGTGTCCCTGCTGACTGCGGGGAGGTGGGACTAGATGACCTTTGGAGGTCCCTTCCGGCCTGGGCAATTCTATGATTCTATGATTCTAGCCTGGCATCCTATTCCCCATAAGGGGTCCACAGGAGATGCTTTGAAACATAAAACCCACTTGATGCTTAAACCTGCAGATGTCTCCTGCAGCGAGGAGTTCCACAGCTCCTTCACATGCAGCGTGGAAAAAAGTACGTCTTAGGGGGAGCTTGAATCTGCCACCTCCTAGTTTTGTTTGTCATCCACCGTATCTGGGCTCCAAGGGATTGTGCTTTGTTTTTCAGAAACATTAATGGGTGAGAGGAAGCCGTGACTCAGCCACCGATGAATCACTGCTGCTCCAGATTGTGCCTCCCTCGTCTTACTGGTGCCCCTCAAGCTGATTAAGCCTGGACGAAACAAACTCCTGTCACACTGTGGGATGTTGGTCTGAGCCCAGCCCTGGGACCAGCTGGAAATCAAATCCTACCTCCAGCCCCTGTTTTCCATCCATCCTTCCCAAACTCCTTATTTCACTGCAAGATCAAAGCCTTTCCCATGCTGAAAAGTCATTCCCCCCCCCCCGCCCCGATAACTTCCATTTCCTCCAAGGTGCCCTCATTTCCTCATTATTTGGAAAACACTACTAATTTTACACTGAAAATAAAAACACCCTCCTGTTGCCCCCTTGTTTCATTTGCTTCAGCTGATTTATTTACTAATTTGCCCCGTTACACAGCTGGGAACTTCACTCCAGCCTTGATAACACCCAGCTGGTACCCAGGACCGACGTATTTGAGTTTTCCTTGGCACAGTGGGATGGGAGGAGATGTGAAGTGACTGCAGACACGAGCACACCTTACTCCTTGGCTGCTTGCTCTGCTCTCTGGTTGTGATTTCTGTTTGCAGATGCTGGCCTGGCTTAAAGTAAGCAATGGAAAACTCTGCTCCCAGAGAAACATTCCTCTCATTTTTCCCCCATGTTTCTGCCTTTCCCCTCCCTCTCCCCCTCCCACAAAAAAGCCTGCAGTTTAAACACCAAAAATAAAGCATGCCCGGTCATGGGCTGGATAAAAATAGCAGGCCTTGCTATTTACTTTAACAGCAGCAGTAGGCTTTCTGGCTTTGGTGGAGAACCGGGAGGCAGGAGTGGGATGGGATGGTGACTCTTGTGGGGGTGGAAGATGAACACTGAGCTGATGTTTTTGGGGCTGGCAGGCTCTACAGCAGCTGCTTCATCCCCTTATTTCCCTCGTTTTGGGCACACCTGGCCCTGGCCCTTCTGGGATGAAGGGAGCTGTGGGGGTGGGCTGGGCTCAGCTGCCTCAATCCACCTGGGTCCACTCTGAAGTGCCTGAGGCTCAGTGCTATGTTGGCAGTGATGGGAGGAGAGGCTGCTGTTAGGGGAAATGCCCCAAAACTGGTGAGTTTTTTTGGGGGTGCCTCTTCCCCACCCATCCCATGGGAGGCTCTGGGTGCAGATGTGCTTGCTGATGTGGATCTGGGTCTGCTGGAGCATCCCTCCCTGGGGCTTAGGGGGAAAAGATAGGGCTGGGGTGGGAAGTAAGGTGAGGTCCTTGGGTGCACCACTTGAGGTGCTTGTGTTGAGCAAAGATGGGGTACGGGAACCTGCGTGTGTGGAGGAGGGAGGGTGCGTGGCTCTTCTTGGGATGTTTTTTGGGTGTGTGCTGCAGAGTTGGGGAGGAAAGCAGTAGGGCTTTGTGTTGGTTCAGAGCTGATCATTGTTTTGTGTTGTGTGAGCCTTCAGGAACTCCTTCCTGAGGAAATCCTATGGGCAGTACTGGCGGTGGGCGAGGGAGAGAGGAGATGTGCTGGGAGGTGGGGAAACCTCTGGGCTGGGCAAGTCCCGTCAGCG